GAGTCGAGTGCCCTAACCACCTGGCTACAAAAATATACAAATTAAAAGTATATACACAAAAATATACAAATTAAAAGTATCTATACGTAGTCTAAGAACAACAACCGCATACGCACAAGGCATTGTTCATTTCTTGAACTTCGAGCAAAGCTACACAGGATTGCATAAGCTAGCCTTCCCTAATTTAGTGGCAACTTTTGGGCTACTCTTTTACCCAAGAAAAGTAGGATTGACTTCCACATTATAACCCATCCACACACGTACACACAAATGAAAGGGTGAGAATGTTCGTAGACGAACCCACAGATTGCGAGTCGAGCACCCTAATTACCAGGCCATGCCAGGTTCAGCACAAATCAAACCCACCAGACCAAGTTTAACAATTCGTAAAACTAATGAGGAAGATTTAAAAAAAAAAGTCAGAAAAAATATATAAAGAATTATTTTTTATTTTGAAACCCTCATGAGAAAGGGTGCAAATAATTTTGATATAGCGTTGTTCTTCGCGTGCTTGTGAGGTGCAGTTACTGGGGAGAAGACCTTGAAACATTTACGTTGAAGTGTGAAAGATCGTGTGGTTTGTCGCTCAAATGTCGTGCACAGGTTAATAATGTGTCCCCTATGTTTAGGGGAATCTTACACTGACTTTGCGACCTGTCTCGACAATGAATAATAGGTTGCATAGGGCACAAGTGATGAAATAGATGACAGATTCAGATGAACTCGTGAAAGACTGTCTGATGCTAAAGTTGCCTTTGGGTCCACTAATCACTTTGCGGTTATCCATGTGTTCACGTATTAAACAGCTTAATCTCTTACAAGGTAGACGTATTGAAAATCTGAAAAGGTATTTATTGTTATTGAGATTAGTAAAAACCAGTTTATATTGTAAACGAAGAAAACACAAGTTTCTGTTTTTTTTATGAAAAATAATTATAATGTTTGCTTTAATCTGTAGAATATGAAAGTTGTCCACGATAACACATGTCCGTGGCACAAATGACAGATTATGAATGATAAAACAGATGAACTTAGATTATGAATATTCAGTGGCAAGTCATAAGCTCTTTTCACACCTTAAACTGTATCTGATTAAGGTCTGCTGCTATTAATCTTTTCTCACGTAACAATGAAGAAGGACGCCTAACTTACATTCTTGGCACCTTTTCCCCTTTTAGTTTAATTGGAAAATTATATATGTATATTTTTTTCTGACTGTTTTATATCTCCCTGATGAAGGAAAAAGAATAAACAAAATTAAACACTCGCCAAATTAAAATAACTTTATTGACGAATTTAAAAACAATATTTTAAGCAATGGCCCTTTTTCATTAAGTTTGCAATGAGAACAAAATGGCTTTAATGAAGGGTCTAGGCCTGAAACGTTGTAGGAATTTAAATGTTATTTAAGTTAATTTTATCAACCGTTCTTTTTTTTTTCTATAGCAAACCGATTTTCTGTATCGATTGTTTGGTTCATTTTAGTGGAGATTCTAATCCTTTCAACTGTTCAAATACCTCCAGATGATTTACTGACTCTTAATGACGACATAAAAGTATTGAAAAGTTTTTTCCACTACCATATTCCGTTTGACAACAGTGAAAAGTTGGTTTTCTGAAAATCTTTTAACAAAAACAAAACTTTAATCGTGCGTGACCTAATACTGAACACAATGTCTTTGTACAAGTCCTCGCGCGCAGTAACATGCTATTAATTTCATTGCTTTGTCGTCTTTGAGAAAACTAAATATATGGAGATTTTTGATAATTTAGCTGAATCATCCAAATCAAATGCGCATATCCTTTTGCTTTTTTGTCTGCTTCTCGTAATTACACAAATGATCAAGGCCCGGCATGGCCAGGTGGATAAGGCGCTCGACTCGCAATCTGAGGGTCGCGGGTTCGAATCCCCTTCCCACCAAACATGCTCGACCTTTCAGCCGTGGGGGCGTTATAATGTGACGGTCAATCCCACTATTCGTTGGTAAAAGAGTAGTCCAAGAGTTGGCGGTGGGTGGTGATGACTAATTGCCTTCCCTCTAGTCTTACACTGCTAAATTAGGGACGGCTGGCGCAGATAGCCCTCGTGTAGCTTTGCGCGAAATTCAAAAGCAAAGCAAACAAATGATCAAATACGCATATCCTTTCGCTTTTTTGTCTGCTTCTCTGTTTGGAGTTGTCTTGTCATGAAAAGCTGAGATTTCTTCAATTTCCGAGACAGCGTAGCAGGAAGTCGTGACACCGATCTTTTCACTTTACAATCTTTTAATGTGTCGCACCACAAAAGCTCGAAAAGAGAGCCTCTGGTTTTTCAAGTCCTATATTAAGCACCAGAAACCGTCGTTTTCCATCAGCCTTATTCTCAAGTTTCTTGTTCAGCCACTTCTATACAAACTAAAGATAATTTTATAAAAGTAATTTTATTTTGCTCGCTTTCTTAAAAAAGAAATATTTTAGTTAATCGATATCGCGCATTGCATATGTACCACAGTGAGCTAATTTTCAAAATATCTAAATATTTTTACAGTTACATATTTTTGGAATATTTTTTGTTCTGCGCACTTTCGGGAAAACAGAAAAAAGTGGGAAAGGATTTTGAGATTGGGAACAGTCGACTTTTTATTTATTTTTATGTACTATCAAGCGTTGATTTTATTTCTTTAATGCAAGTGTATTATAAACCAGCATGACCCAGAGCCTGTGTTATCGGTTATAGGCAAGCCCATAGGGCGGGAAAACAACAAAATAGATGGGCAGCAAAACAGAAAGGCTACGAAATAAAAATAATTTGGCCCATGAATTTGTTTTCCAAGATGGCTGTATATTTATAAAGTCGTATCTCTTGTTAGGTTTCTTCTAGTTGATTTTTTGTTTGTAATTAAGCACAAAGCTACACAATGGGCTATCTGTGCTCTGCCCACCACGGGTATCGAAACCCGGATTCTAGCGTTGTATGTCTGCAGACATACCGCTGTGCCACTGGGGGGGCCCTTCTAGTTGAACAAGCCTGCTGAGGGTATCTAACGAGTAAATGGAAATAGAGCGTTCAATTTCTTTAACATACAGTAAAAAACTAAAAATGTCGTTTTACTAAATAATTTACTGTATAAAGATAAAATACTGTGAAACTGAGGATAGTCTCATACACTCTACATGTATCTGCATCTTACTGCTTCATCATCAATGGTGCAATATTCTGCACAAGTTAAGACTTATACTCTCTCAAAAATCACATGATCAAATTTACACACAGCTTACTGCTACGTATTTAATTAATAATAACTCGTTGTTAATTTCTTCTTCTTTATAACGTACTTTTAAAATTATGTCCACATAATACAATTTATTGTGTAATATTAAACGTTGGCTTTATTTCTTTAATACGTTTGTATTATTGAAAACTTACAGAAGAATCAGCACAAACGGACAAACACTTCTGTAAAACAATGCCACAACAAATTTGACTTAAAATATAACGAGTGTCATTATTATTTAAGCAGTGTGAGATGCTTTATAAGAAACCACAGTCATAAAATATTAAAACATACGTTACTATATAAATATTCATGAAAAGACAACTTATAACAGTCGTGTTTATCTGCTCGATATTATTAAGTTATGGCTTATTCATATACTTCACATGAATAAAACATATAATGAGTAACTGAGTATACTTTCGTGTAGTATGACTCTTTCCATTAGATGTGATTCTAATACTTTTCGCCATTCATGTTATGAGTACTTAAACTTAACAAAAATGGAACTTATGTCCTATTTTAAATAGAATTTCAAAAATACGTTCACATTTAAAGGGACAATAATGCATCTAATATTTTATCCGGAGAATAAGAATGCATAAAAATGTATTGGAAAGAATGTCGCCAATTCAGCGCAAGGCAGCAACCAAAAATAACATTGGAACGCCACCTATTAGCGTCACCAGCAACGAACTCTCATATTTTTCGACAAAGGCATTACGTTGGCTAAACACTTTTCTATTTCGGAGTTGTGTTTTCTCATTTTAGGATATATTTATCTTTAACAGTGTATTTTGATTTAATTGCTAAGGTCTTTTATGTAATTCTTACAAGTCCAAAGTATTATCTATATTATATATCATTCGTTTATGTTTTGGTTGTTTTTATACTGTAATACTTATGCAAATACATGTACAGAGACGATCCAAAACTTTATAACTTTTGTAATTTTAAGAAACGGCGTATCCGTCTTTTTTTTGTGATTTTTAGAATATAGATTAATCTGTCGCACATTATTTCTTTTTTAAATACTTTGAACATTTAGGGTTTGTCTATATTATTGAGAAAACTATATATTACCCCATTTGGTCTTACTGTTTTAAAGGCAGAAGGATTTGTACACGAATGAGTATAACTAAAGCCACATTTCAGGTTCCTTCATATATATATATATATATGAATATGTTCATCTGTGTACAGCATCCACACTATTCGAATCCTATACAAATTTTTACCATAGTTTGTCAGTACGTTGTCCAAGTTCCAGAATTCCGTTTAAATATAAGTATTTTTAGCTTAATACTGAAATTTATAAGTTTCCATTCAAACTGTTTAGTCCACCATGTTGGAGCATCTTTAAAGTGATTACGGTTTCATAATGTTACTACAGCAAAATACACTTTCCAACTAATGCATACGATCTATTTACTTAGTCCAGAGTTGCCTGGTGGTTAGCATGCCTAATTTTGGATCGGAAGGTCCAAGATTCGCGCCGTGATTCCACAGAACATGCTCTACACTTTCAATTGTGAGTTCGTTATAAGTCTGTCCAGTTACTTAGTTCAAAGCTAGACAATTTCCTCGTGGCGGTGGGTGCCACAGTATGACTACCTTTCGTTTGGCCAATATAGTTCCCAATTAGAAACGGCTTCAACTGAACCATAGGGAACTTTAACCTGGGCGTTTAACATATAGGCTTTAGAAGTGTTCTTCGGGTTTAAAATACCAAATCTTTTTTTAATAGTCAAGCTTATTACTGTATGTTTGTTTGGAATTAAGCACAAAGCTACACAATGGGCTATCTGTGTTCTGCCCACCACGTGTATCGAAACCCGGTTTCTAGCGTTGTAAGTCCGAAGACATACCGCTGTGCAACTGGGGGGGGGGGGGGCAGCTTATTACTAACCGTTTCGTCGGGTGAGGGCTGTTGTTGAAACTGATGTAGAATCTCGCTGAAAGTTATCGAGTATATTTGTAAATGTTGGCGTGATATCGATATTCCAAATATATTTACCGCATCTTCATTGTTGTTTGTTTTTTTTTTTTAAAAAGTCCTAACATGAGAAAGAGTTGAAAGGAATGCTGTGCTGCCCTAAGAATAACTTACAGAATAATAAGTCGGTTGTACCTTTGATGATCTCAAGTTATCTAGCTATAGGGACGTTTATGACTTTGGTATTATACTACGCGATAGCATTTCACACCCTATGTTGGCATTGCTATTTATCCGCAGTCATGCTCCGTTAATAGAGATCAATAATAGAGTAAGAAATTCAAGAATCAGTCTGAAGAAAAAAAACGGAAACTAGCGGGCAAGTGCATTTTTTGGTTACTCTGTACGCGAGTGTTGAATAGTTACCATAGTAACATTGTTTCTTATTACAACTTTTTATCAGATTTGTTTTGTTCTTTGTTTTTCGTTTTGTTTTCCTAAAAAACATCAATCTCTACAACGATATTAACAACTCAAAACACGTGTGTAAAAATATTTTTACAGAGGTCACGTGACTTGGATGTGGGATCTCAACACGTTTTTTTTATACCACCATGTTGCATACGTTTTTGAATGATACTATAGAAACTATGTTTCATTATGTTATAACATTGTTTATATTTTCAGATTACTATTATGTATGTCCACATCAACAAAATATATCTTCCTTCTCCTCTTAGCTAGAACAAAACATTCATGGATTCTTAAATAGAATACCTGATCTCCTACAAGTGCCTCTTCAGAGTCTCCTGAATGTAGACCCCAGGAGACGTCCTAATGCACAGAATTTTTCCATGGTGAGTACTACACATCTTGAAAGAGCATGTTATGTAGGAGAAACGTGACCTGTTGGAAATAAGATTTACTTTGAAAGCATTTTAAGTGATCGTGAAAGTCATTTGATATCTACAAAGCTGATTTCGTCGGTTTTGAAAGGTACAAGATAACGAGTTCTGTAACTATGGCAACGAGCGTCTAATTTTATCCAGCGTATCTGAAAACCAAGATAATACATTGGGCTCGAAATAACTTACAAATGAAAGGATGAGCTTATAGTAAGCTGTTACTAAATGAATGTACGCAATGCAGCAGTTTAAGTAATTCAAATGCCTCCTTCTTTCCCTTTCTCGCTTTCTATACATACTTAAAAGTAGAACAACACAAGCATAAAAATGTTACTTACGTGTGGCAGTTTTCCCCAGTGTTTTTATAATTTAGCATCTAATTGTTGGACTCGAGATTACATGAAATTTCAATGAAACAAACTGAACGTTGTATATTTTTTTATGTAAGTTTATACTGATTAAATAAGATTTATTTTGTAATCATTTTTAAATAACCTCCGGAATAAAGTTTTATAGGTATCGTCATTTTTTTTTCTGTGTTATTTTTCACCAGAATTTAAATATCAAGAATACATTTCAAACCTATTTATTATTTCTATTTCTTTTACTACAACAGAGAACTTTTGACGTTAAGTGTTTAAAGAGAAGAGTTTACTCTGCAAAATAATGCCGCTATCTTTAGTCCAATGATAAATAACGATAATAATACCTTATTGATAAATACAAGGATATATCAAATTATGAATTTTTCTTTCAAAAAACTTAAATCTTCTCACCGTGCGCTATGAAATAATTATATCTATGGTCCAAAATGTTATCATATTATCTTGTAAAGACATTTTCCGTCCAGTTTTCTACGGAAGGAATCCCACTGTTGAGAAGAATATTTTTCTGTTCTTCTAGTCCTACGTGGTAACAAATTGTAACGTACGTTACATCTTGTTAATGGATATTTACAACTCTTCCTACCACTGAAAATGCCCCCCCAGTGGCACAGCGGAATGCCTGCGGACTTAGAACGCTAGAAACCGGGTTTCGATACCCGTGGTGGGCAGAGCACAGATAGCCCTTGTGTAGCTTTGTGCATAATTAACAAACAAAACAAACAAACAAACCACTGATAATATAAAGTCTTTTAAATCATGTCTAACCAACTTGAGGCTTGTTTCGTTCTTTCTGCATAGGCCATGAAATATCACGATAATTAAATATAATTTGATATAATGGCTGTGTTGTAGTGTAATAAGGTTTATATGGTGAAATCAAATGTTAGATGAGCCTAGATGCTAGTATTTCAGAGAAATACATGAATTTAAGGGTCTAAAAATTGCTATATATGTTCTCATAGGTTATATTAAGGAAGAAATATTTTAGAAAATCGTTTACTGTGACACTTTTCAATAATTTATTAACGGAATTGGGTAATTTTATGGCTTTGCGAAGAAAAATTCAATCCTAAATCGCACATGACTACGAATTCTGAAATCTTAGCTCGAAATTTAACCATTACAAAAATCAAGTTATTATGATATATATAAAACACATTTAGAATAAGATATTGATAATCGTACCTATTACAAAGTTCAAAGAATGTATACGTGTATTTGTTTATTTGTTATTAAGCACAAAGCTCTACAATGGGCTATCTGTGCTATTTTCACCGTGGATATCAAAGCCCGATTTTAGCATCACAAGCCCTCAGATTTACCCCTGAGCCACCGGGTAAGGGTTAGGTGGCAATAGATAACCTTGTAATATGCAACATGTACGTATTTTTTTATCTCTACTTCTAATACGTAAGAAAAGGTAATGTTGCATAAGCAGCTTTGAGGAATGCGATGGTAGGTATTCTCGAATGATGTTATTAATAACTTGATCAAAGCATTGTCCGTTTGTTTGTTTTGTTGTTAACACTAAGCTACACAATAGGCTGCCTGTGCTCTACTCACCAGGGGTATCGAAACCCGATTTTTAGTGTTATAAGCCCTCAGACTCACCGGACTTACTGCTGAGCCACAGGGAAACCTCTTCAAGGTACTTCCATAGATCAGAGCTAGAAATAAACTCAATGAATAATTAAACTACAGCCTAATATTTTATCTAAAATTGTACCGTTTCAAAAAAAGCGATATAATGATTATAATTACTTCATTTTACCTGGTTTGTGAGATTTAATAAGTTAATACATCATTTCACTCTGTTTTGAAGCCTTAAACGATGTGACAGTATGTATTGAATTTCCTTAGACTGAAAGCTTCTCGTTTCTATCAGACTAGAACCCGTGTTTCCATCTTTTTACAATAAAACTGTCAGACTTTGCCACTTTAAATAACGCTTTTCTTTTTCGCAATATATTATACATAGTGACGTGCTATTTTTTTTTGTACGTCGATTATTTCTCTAATCATATTTCTTCTGTAAAATATTTGGTAGCGATAGGATTTGTGAATCACTGTACACCCGTATAACCATGGATAATATAATGAACTGTAAATTAGCAATTCTTCCTTTTCTTTCTTCACATAACCCTGGGAGTACGTCATAACAGATAATCTTGTAACTTATTAAATCACATAACCCTGGGAGTACGTCATAACAGATAATCTTGTAACTTATTAAATCACATAACCCTGGGAGTACGTCATAACAGATAATCTTGTAACTTATTAAATCACATAACCCTGGGAGTACGTCATAACAGATAATCTTGTAACTTATTAACTCACATAACCCTGGGAGTACGTCATAACAGATAATCTTGTAACTTATTAAATCACATAACTCTGGGAATACGTCATAACATATAATCTTGTAACTTATTTTATATATTTGCATTGTAAGTAATAAGTAAGCTTATATATTACTACAATAAACTCAAATACTTCATTTGTATAAGCGCCAATGTCTACATTTAGCAATGGTTATATTTCGGTAAATACAGTCCTTGAAAAATATGTAGCAATAGGAAACTTCATAGAATATTATAACTTATTCTATTCAATTATACTATCGTAATATGCACTAATATATAACTGATTCTATAGAATATTTCGTGGCAAGTAAGATAAATACCTTTGTGCTTTAATATATAAATGTTTGCAGTATAAGATCTGTTTTATAAAGTAAGACCCTATGCAAGAGCAACTAATACCATTTCTTTTAAAAGTTACTTGTGCAGCCTTCAAACGTTTTTTTTTTTTCACGTAATTCAACATTGTCCCTATTCCTTTGTTCCTTTAATCGATTGGTCGTTGGTTTGCATCATGTATTGTCCAAGGACGTTCTCGATAATTACAATAGTCATTCTCATTGAAATTCTATTTTTGAATTTCTTGAGTTGCACAGCATTATCTTTTGTGTACCATCAGCTTAATGAATAGACTGTTCTATGCTTTTAGTTTAAAAAATACTAAATAAAGGTCAAGGGGCAGTTGTAAGGAGTTTGTTAATAGAAGTAGTTTTAGGTTTAGCATATTCTTTCTTTGTGTCTGTTATATTCTTAGACATACATCTTTCGTGATCTAGTGTATTTGTTATTGTTGTTTTGAGGCTTGAAAATTTATATTTAGTAACAGATTAAAAACTCAACTAGATGGCAGAAATAAAATAATTGTATATCTTATATGAACGTGTTTAAAAAGTATTTTTATTATATATATGTATGAAATACGTCTACTTCTTAACCAGTAGATTACTTGTAAACATTTATGGACAAAAACAGCAAACTACGCAAACAAAACATTTTCGTATTACTATGCTTTGAAGGACAATTTACATGTTCTTATCAGTTTTTAAATAAATCCATGCAGGCAACCCTGAGAGACACACACACAACCTTCCAAAAAAAAACTTCATTTCCATGTCTAAAAACTCCAATATCTTAAATATATTCTTGTTCTCAACAATCCCTTACATGTATAAGCAAAATTCATTTGTAAGTTTGGATTTTCGGTCCGTAGAGACCCCAAAATCTCTCTGACACCCACATGAATTCCCCAATTTTAAAATGACCAGCATTAAAACTTAAATTATTGTTTTGAATGGCTCCTTATATATTATTCTTTGAAGGCAGCTTTAGTTGTTGTGATCAACATTTGAGGAATATTTTTTATTGCTTCTGCCTTGTGTTTGTTGGTGACAACGTTTTGGGTTCAAATCTGAGTTCTTCTTCAGGCAGGAAATAACCACCAAAAGCCTTCATCAAATCGGTTCAGTCAAACCTAAATCCCCTTGATCCAATATTTTTAGGGCACCCTCTTGACTCTTTTTTATATATTCTTGGTAGATCAAGAACATACAAAGTTTCAAGTCGATTTGTGAAACATCGCTAACATGGTAACATAAATACAGGTAGAACTGAGAATTCCATGATAGATAACATAGTAAATATGATGAGATAATTTATAAAAGGAATATTTCTATCAGAGTTAAATATCAAAAGCACAAAAAGTAAAACACCAAACTAACATTGTTTGAAAACTGATACCAGGTATATATAACAGCTTACTTACTTATGGATGTTTTCTACTGATTCCATGTTGTTGACTTTTTTATCTGAAACATTTTGATATATTAAAAGGTATGTGCTAACAGTCTGAATGTTTTAGTGCAATAACTTACTATCTTAAAGGTTCTTTTTCTAGTTGTTGTTTTTTTTCACAAAGTGTGAGGGCTGTTTCATGAAAAGGACTAAAAAAAAAGAGATGCAAATTCATTTTTGGAAATTCTAAACCAATACATAATCGTTAACCCTATTTAATCAATACAGACGGTGTCATTGCTCACATGTAATTTTTGTTTGTTTTTTATTAAGGCCAAAACTACACACTGAGCTATCTGTGCTCTACCCGCTGCAGGTATCGAAACCCGATTTTTAGGGGCATAACCCCCTCAGACTTACCGCTGAGCCAGTGGAAAGGGTTAAACTGTTAGGTCACCTTATTTGTCTAATATAATGTCCCCATGCATAAAAAGTAATGATAAAAATGTTTTTTCCTTAATAAATGGAAAGCTTTCAAGATATTACGATGTTCTGTGATAGACTTTAGAAAGGCAGCAAAACATTTGTCATAAATACTTTCAAGATATTAAAACGAGGGAAATAAGCTCATATGATTATTTCTATTTAATTTATCTATATTGATGTGATTGAAACTTTAATTTATATATATTCGATGTGCTAACTCGTGTTAACAGTTGTTTATGTGATGGCTGCCCGGCATGGACAGGTGGTTAGGGCGCTCGACTCGCAATCTGAGGGTCACGGGTTCGAATCCCCGTCACACCAAACATGCTCGCCCTTTCAGCCGTAAGGGCATTATAATGTTACGGTCAATCCCACTATTCGTTTATAAAAGAGTAGCCCAAGAGTTAGCGGTGAGTGGTGATGACTAGCTGCCTTCCCTCTAGTCTTATACTGCTAAATTAGGGACGGCTAGCACAGATAGCCCTCGTTTAACTTTGCGCGAAATTAAAAAAATGCCAAACTTAACTGATGAACTTTTTTTTGTTTTTTTTATATCACGCATCAAAATAACGATGGAGCAAAGTAATAATTATCAATAACTTCTGGTCAAAGCCAGCTACCTACATTGATCAAAACTGAAAATTAATCCAGTAATTAATGTAACTAATTTAATATAGCGGACTAACTAGGAGTGTACATGGTCATAAAGCAAAACGTTAAATGATTGTAATGTATTGATTCACCAATTATTGATATTTTAAACAGTAATTCAACTAATTCGGACAGCTTAGGAGACTTGGGTTAGTCCTAAATGTATACACTAAACTAACAACGCAAAATAATCCTCATAACAAGAATATTTATGAAATAGATAAAATGTGATAAAAATAAATATATTACATATATTAAACATAACCAATACTGATAATGAAAAATAATATTAAAAAGAGGATGGAATATAACTTAAAAGACACATAAAAACTAATTGTTTGCTTCACGCATTATCATCACAAGGTTTGAGGACACAACTGTTCCATTTTTTTCTGATTAATAGTATGGTTTCTGTTATTTATTTTACTTGAGACATTTTTGAGCAGAATTTGTCTTATTCGTAAAAGAATATTAATTAGTTGTTTTGACCTATATCTTTGTGATAGGGTTGAAGGGCTAAAGCAGTATCGTAGTGAATTGGACTCAAATTTTCCATTCTGTTATCGATGTGAAAGATCTTCGACAAATTTCGGAAATACTTGTCTACCGTATCTCATAGTTATAATTACAGTAAATTTGAAGTAAATACATAACTAATGCTTATCAAATCTTGCTACTTTAGCAACCCGTGCAAAGTTTGAATAATAGTCGTAATATTAAATGCGTGTTGTCTTTTTTAAAAAGTTGAAAGATGGTGAAGATTAATCATGTGTTTGGTAGAATGTTCACTTCAATTTGCTTTGACGAAGTGAAAGGATTTTCTTGATCTGTTAAACCTAGCTGTTGATCAAACACTTGAATCTCTGCTCAACAAGGGGCGGATGAACTAACGTAGACTGCATAAAGATAGGAGTTCACTATCCTGTTTTTTCTTGTTTCTACAGTGCCTGTCAAAAGCTTTACAATAAATGTTCACAAAGTGGGAGTTATTTATAAAGAAATCTCTCAGGAAGCAACTGTTCTGAAGCTACTATAACCTTAAATGAGTTTAGTACCGAATTTTTCATCCTGCAAAACTTTTGTTGCTCTCTTTTCTAAGTCATTTCCTTTAGTCTATCGCACCTCCTTTTTTCTTCTGCAAATGTTTAGGCTTTTTCTGAAAGCGAACGACTAGAGAGCCTATTAATAGGCTACTAAAATCCACATCTGAGCCAGCAATGTTCAATTTGTCTTTTACCGACAAAAATTTGATACAATGTTTCCAATAGTTTTGAACACAGTGCATAGTGTATTTGTAACTACGCCTCGTTTAAGTATAAATAATAGCTGTAAAGTTATTGTAGTAATCTAACTGCTGTAAGATAAATATAACACACTAAGCCTATCATATATGTGCCTAAAATTAATTACATGGACTAAGTAAAGCAAAACAAAAGTATAAAATGATATTTAGGATAATGTAGAAACATGCAGACAAAAAAAATAAACTTACTAACAACTCGGGATACTTGAATTTCCACTAATAGCTCACTAAAAGCCACGTTTGATCCAAAAATATCTAGTCCTTCCTTTACCAGTACGTGAGAAAAGTAATTCTTAAAATTGTTATCGTTTTATTTTGTTTTTATTACGTGAAGATAACTTGTGGTAGAAGTAAAAGCTTATGTATGCCTTAAACTATTGTCACGTTATGAAATAAAATTGTTATCGTTTTATTTTGTTTTTATTACGTGAAGATAACTTGTGGTAGAAGTACAAGCTTATGTATGCCTTAAACTATTACCACGTTATAAAATAAAATATTGACAATTTGATTTACAGTATACCTTCAAGTAACCAAAACTGATCTCATAATATGACGATTAATAACATTCTTAGATAAAATTTTCGTTTAATCTGTTTACTGCAAGATGAAAAATGTAATGTAGTATTATAAAGAAATACTACATATACATTATTGAAAACAAAAACTTGCTCCATATACACAGTCTGACCAATCTATTAGGACCTATACCTACTAATGGGTTAGGCTATCTTTTGACCAATTAATAGCCATGATGTGATGTGGCCATTGAATCCACGAGGTGATGGAATGTGTCCTGAGATATTTTTTTTACTTACAGTTACTAATATTGCATGCTATTCATGAGATATGTAGAGGCTTGTGATGGGAAATGCATATTTTAACTTCATTACACAGAAGCACAGTTATATTGAGATTCAAGAATTATGGTAGCCATATAAGCACAATTTGGAAAAGGTAGATGTGAGTATGGTCATCTTAGATGAAGTAGCTGTCCCCTATCAAGGTACTCATGAAGCATCATTGGACGCACTTGATCAGAAATTATGCTTAGGTAAGCGGTAGCTTTCGTTCTGCCTTCTAAGTGGATCGAGGATTCCAGGAATGCATGCCCAAAACATGACTCCACTACCAGAGGCCTGGACAGTTTTGACTGCACAAGAAAGGTCAAGTGGCTTTCTCCAGATTGTCTTTTCCAACTTGTGCGAAAAAGGATGACATGTGACTTGTCGGACCACATCACTTTCCTTCAGTCCTCATTAGTTCAATCTCTACGCTCTTTACACTATCCTAGGCGTTTCATATTGTTGGTATCTGAGATTAGGGATTTTTGCAATGGTCTCCTACTTTCATAATCAACATTTTTCGCAAAATATGGCTAAAGATGGGTTTGAATTGCCTTACATTGGATGTCTCTGACATTTCATATAACCACTTTTCTCCTCTTTCTGTTATTACGTGTTTGGCCAGAACTTATCCTCGCACCATACATTTTATTCACATTTTGATGTTGCTGGGAAACTCGAATGGATGATGTCTTGGAGCCTACCAACGAAACTGTCTTGGCCATTGTAGCACCTTCTACATATGCACCAACTATATCGTGCCTCTTTTGAACCCAGCAATATCTTTGCCTTTCCCCATATCTGTTTTATTGGCTGCACATGTTCTTGTTCCAGTCACTTATAATGATGTAGTGATCACCCGACACATTATTTGACGTACCTAACTTACATCCAATATGAGTCCTAATAAAGTGACCAACTGGTGTAGGTGCCATATTTGCACAAACCACAGTAATGACAGAGTGCACTATACTATATATACGTACCACATAAATTAGACATTTTATAAACTATGCCATCACAATGCTGCGATATATTAACTCGGTTTATACATTTTTGGACTTAAATATCAATAACCTACGCTCTACGTAAAGACGTTTTAGAACTGTATTGGTTAATATTTAATGCACTAGAATATATGCACTTATAATTTTTTAATTTGAATGTTTTACAGATTAAATTTTTCATGGATCCTGCTATCCACGCCCTGCAGTACCTGGATGTGATTCAGATGAAAGACTCAATACACAAATCCCACTTTTATCATAGTCTGAAGGGAACATTATCCCACATACCAAAAGTAAATTGATTATGATCCTATCTTTTTCCTGTTCTTAACAATCTTTATATTCAAAAGTGTGGGTGTGTTTGTCTTGTAGTTATTTTTATTATCCTTTTATATGCACCACTTCAGTTCTTTATTTCAATATATAATTTATTTAATCAAAAATCCAATACTTTGTAACATTTTTTTATTGATGCATGATTGAGTTTCGTATAAGATAGCAGTATGAAAGATGTCACAACAATTTGCAATATAAAAATCTCTCTTTCATCGATTTCGTTCATCTTCTGCCTCGACATATCATAATCACTTACTATATATATTTGCACAAAGATTCAGCTACTTTCCACCAGGTGTTGTTTTTGTTTGCTTTTGAAAGCAAAGCCACATCGGGCTATCTGTTGTGTCCACCGCCGAAAGTCGAACTCTGAATGTTAGTGTTAAACTTACCACTGTCCCATCAGGGACACCAGGTTTTGCTTCTTGGAAATAATACACTGATTATATTGTATTTAAAAAAAAGCATATTCTTTAAATAGGGCCTCACAATTCTGCTTACTGATGTAATGATTGGATATAACATTCCAAAAATTATAAATTTTCGAAGCATATTGCATGTGAAAATGCAGCAAAAAGTATCTTTTCAATGAAACAAAGTCGGTGGTTTTGTTAATAAAATATGTGCATAGTTTGTGCAAAAGCTCAACTTTATTAACCAGTGGAGTAAAGTATAAAATTCAGTCACTAGGAGAAAACTAAAAAACATGTTGAGAGTATTGCTTGTTTTTTAGTACAAAGCTACACAATGGCCTGTCTACGCTCTCCCATTGTGGGAAATCTAACTGACACACTGAACAGAAATTAGAGAAAAGTAAAGCAATGAAATGATTGTTTCGTTTTTAAGCCTATCGCATCGGGAAACAGCTGTAGATTAGCCAGATGTATTAGCATAAAACAAGGAGTGCAAGATGTAACTATTTAAAAAAAAATCTGTTCCAGTAAAATATGCATTGTAGTATTATAAGACTCTACAATTACAAACTTTATAAAACAATTACATTATTTTAACTAAATCTTAACATGGTTCAGGTGTATGCTACATTATTAGAAAAACGCACTTAGAATAATCAGGTTCTAAACATCAGAATTTTACTAAACAAACAAAAAAGTTCAAAAAGGCAGTTGTTTTAAAATCATATGAATTGGCAATAAATATGAAAACCTTCACAAACTCAAAACATTAGATTAACTATATTTGTTAAACTGACATTTTTAGGCTTTCTCATAAAATAATTATATATTTAGTATTGCAATCCGCAGAAAAATAATATTTTTTCTTATCTATGAAAAAGTGTAATACGGCGTTTAAGAAGTGACGTCACTGTAAAATTTGTTCTTCTGCAACCTCTCTTTTCTTAAGTTAAGCTCAGGAAGCATAATTCGCTATAAAAATCTGTAGTAAAACACGCGAAGCAGTGACTTTGTAGTACAAGTAAACTCTTCGTATCTCATTAAACATGATTCAAGCACACTGCAATAAAAATATGTAGTAAAACACGCGAAGCAGTGACTTTGTAGTACAAGTAAACTCTTCGTATCTCATTAAACATGATTCAAGCACACTGCAATAAAAATATGTAGTAAAACACGCGAAGCAGTGACTTTGTAGTACAAGTAAGCTCTCTTTATCTCATTGAAACATGATTCAAGTACACTTTGCTATAAAAACCTGTAGCAAAAGACGCGAAGCAGTGACTTTGTAGTACAAGTAAGCTCTCTTTATCTCATTGAAACATGATTCAAGCACAATTCGCTATAGAAATCTGTAGTAAAACACGCGAAGAAGTGAAGTTGTAGTACAAGTAAGCTCTCTTTATCTCATTGAAACATGATTCAAACACAATTCGCTATAGAAATCTGTAGTAATAAAATACGTGAAGCAGTGAAGTTTGAGTACAAGTAAGTTCTCCTTATATTTTTGAAACATGATTCAAGCTTACCAAAGTCTTTACGATGCAGTTGCGTTGCTTAACTGTTAAAAACAGGTATTTAAAGTTATATGATCCCTGCTTTCAAAGATTAATAAGTTTGTAATAATTTGCAGGAACAAAACAATTTTTCTCGTGTTCTAAAGTTACTTACACCAACAGTGTTTCTACATATAGAAAATGTAGTACCCTTAGCTTTGAAGTGACTATTTTTACTTTTTGTAAGCATCAACGATTTAATAACTTAGTGACAAACTTATAACAATGGCCAGGTAGTTAGGGCGCTCGACTCGCAATCTGAGGGTCGCGGGTTTGAATCCCCGTCCCACCAAACATGGTCATCCTTTCAGCCATTGGAGCGTTATAATGTAACAGTCAATCCCACTATTCGTTGGTAAAAGAGTAGCCCAAGACTTGGCGGTGGGTAGTGATGACTAGCTACCTTCCCTCTAGTCTTACACTGCTAAATTAGGGACGACTAGCGCAGATAGCCCTCGTGTAGCTTTGCGCGAAATCCATAACTAACAAACAAAACAAACTCTAAACACTGATCACTTTCAATGTGCATTATAGTAATAGTACGTTCATTCTGGAATCGATCAAGTAACTGAATTGTAGAGTTTGTAATACGTGACAATAACATTTTAAAAAGAATTTTGCATGGAAAGGCATACACACAAACGGTGTTCACTTTATTTACAAGCTAAAAAGCCAACACGATTTAAATAATTATTATTGTTTCTGTCCAGAAACTGTGGTATCAGCACGTGCTACCGTCCTTGAAATCAGAGCTCCAATCTCCGGAAGTATTAGCAGCCGCTCTCCAGCCTCTGCTTTATATAATCGACGAAAGTACTCCTGAAGAATACCAAACACTTATCTTACCGATGTTTCGAACTATCTTCAGCATGCCTAAATCTGTACAGGTATAGACAAATTATTGTCTCTTTAATTCTCCGTGTTTTTATAATAAAAAAGGAATCATTTATTTGGGAGAGTTTAAGAGTTTCTGTTTGTTATATTTTTTGTAATTTTGTCCTTACTTAGATTCTTCTTATTGTAGACCTTGATCTGAAATATATGTCTGAAATATATATTCATGTAAT